CGTGACATGTTCGTACGAACCCTTTGTACGAACAAAAGTAAGAGAAATTTAGGAGAAGAATACGAACATGTTCTTGCATGAGGCCCAATGTTTTGAAGACTAACTTACACATTTTTAAAGAGTTTAAGACTTTTTAAGATCTTAATTTTAGATACATGAATTTACAACTTTTCACGACTTTTTAAGGATGCCACCCTGAGCGTATCTCAGCTGTGTCTCCCATTTTGTTAGCTCTACAGTCTGAAAACAGACAGGGTAGCCCTTTTGTGTTGTCATACCTTAATAAATTCACCTCTTAATGATGGTTCCTGTAGATGAATTTATTCAGCTAGAACACCACATAAGGCCTAGCCGTGAAACACATGGTCTGCCACAGTTTCATGTTAAACATGTACGTATCACGTATCATAAATATATCTGACAGAGAAAAGACAATCCTGCACGTTACTTCTCACCTTGCTGGCTTCCCTTTTCCACTCTTTGGGGCAGTACTTGGACAGCTTCTGGTCCAACTCCATGTAGATGTGCTCATTATCTGTGAGACAAAGACAGATTTAAGTCATTTAATCTTGGTGACATCACATTGTATGTGTTTAGAGCTGGTTATAAGGTGCTTTTATGTGTTTATGTACACAGAATAATCCCCTTGGAATGAATTCTGTTTAAATATCTGCATTTCTTTTTATGCTCAGAGTCTCTTTTTATCAACTTTTTATTAACTTGGCGAGTGATTTGTATTTTTTCACTGAATACCTGAAGGACTTTCAGCTCTACACAACCAAACGTCTTTATTACAGTATCTACAGAGATGGTTCTGGTGTCGATGTTCTCGTCAGGGGGATGGTGGGTGACGCACATGGAGTGGGTGGCCTCTGTTTGCCTTGGGGATTTCACGCTGTTCAGACAAGCACTCCAGGAATGTCCCACAACCAGACCCATTGGCTCCAATTCAACTGACCTGCTGTCCCAGCATGGGCCCATCTGCAGACGGTCTGTGTGAAAACTGCTGCACAATTTATTCCCCTCTCGCAGCTGCCTGCAACTGTCACCAGTTGTCTCCTTGTTGTAGTAAAACCTAAATGACTCATTCCACCTCCTCTAAAGGAGGCCTGATCACAGAATGGATCCAGTAATCATGAGGAAACTCTGGTTCTTCACTCACCATCAGGACAAATGGAAAACAAAAAAACAAAATTTTTTAATTAAAATAAATACATTTCCAACGTCAAACTTCATCACCAATCCATCCGCCCGTCATCTTTACCTGCTTTTTTTCTTTTAAGGTCACAGACATCATTGACATACAAAACAAAATCACATGAACTGAAAGTACACTGAGAAACTCTGTTATGAACACAGTGAGAAAGTAATCTAATTAATGATTCTTCACCAAATCTATGTAGATGATTAGTGTTATGTTGCAAAATTATTGATAAATAACTTTCTCTAAGTGGGATTTTAGAATGTATGTGAAACATTCAAGTGCCCTGACATGACTAAAATAAATAAACTGAACAGAATTTTTCAGAACATTTTGTAATTTGCAAAGAAAATTAAATCTTTTAAATTCTATCTTTAAATCTATTAAAAGGATCCCCGATTAGTTGTAAC